AATATATGCATTCTCTTCATTCTCCTGCGGCTGGCACCAGCGTTTTTAACAACGTACAGAGCGTGAGCCTCGTGCCAATGCACAAGATGTAAGAGGCATTGCCTCTGCAAGAGTCCTTTGGGCTAGGGCTATCCCTTCGTCGACACGGACATAGAATCTCTCGCCATAAGACATGAAGCCAGGGAACTCTATCAGCTATTAAGGATGCGTGCTGCCAATATCTTCCCAGTCTCCCAGGTCACCTGCGACGTGATTAGTAAAGTCTCAGATGTATCCCGTCATGGGGGTAGATACACATACTACAAGCATTTCGTTGGATGAGATCTCTCGTCTATTGGTTGGTCAGGGTTATTGCACAATCACGGCGCAGTATGCCGTAGGGCGGACATTTGACTGATGGAGGTAGCCCGACGATCTACGCAGATGGCATTGTTCAGAATTAGATACAAAGCAGGTCGTATAACGATGGCCATGTTTTGTCGTGTTGTATTGGTGAGAAGAGAAAAGCTGTCGGTTATTGTGATGGGTTCGGTTTTCGCCAAGAGAACCCAAATGGCTGTCGTCATGCCCTCACCCAGCTTCTTTTCCAAACATCCGCCTTTAGCCCATGATACACACTCACAGGCGCGTCTGCAGTGCGCCAAATAGGTAGACCTGACAGCAATCGCTATTATCCCTTTGAATTTTAAAGCGCGCCAATTACATACACCCGTTTGGAAAGCCGTCGTTCGATAGCGCGCAGGGCGCGTCGCGGACACTACGACTTTAGGCGAACCAGAACCATTCATGGTCAACCACTGCGAGCAGACAGTCGCCGATAGAACCGGCTATCGCAATTACACCATGCACTATGACGGTACAAGACCCCTCATTACATTCTTTCCTACCCCACCAGGCGCCCTTGTCTCATGAGTTGTGCCTTTCGGTTCACTCACAAGCAAACCGGCAACTCTGATGTGGCCACTCAATGAGACACCGCGATCGATTTCGCTTCTCGGGGATCATGTCATAAGATCAGAAACAAGAGTCTACGAGGTTGAAAGGAACACCTGGGTGGATGCCTTACGAGAAGAACTTAACACTTTAACATTACAGAATGCGCCGACCCTACCGCCAGCTCGCGTTGCGCCCGATACAGCCCTTCCTCGTACCACCAATCCGTCTCGCATCGAGCTTGCACCCAAAGTCTCAACCGCAAACAGAGGAGGAACATACGCAGCAGTGTTTGGGTCTGGGCCGCAGACAAGGATGACCGGTCACAGCGTCAGTGATGACCGCCGATTTGGTATCTATCTTCCTAGTGCGACTGCGAGCGAGGATAACCTCGCACTGCATCGACTGGCGGCATCAACGCTTCACGTCTCAGAGGGGCGGGCCGCAAGTCTCCCACCTACTTCTCCAATGACAGTAGCGGCTTTGGACCAACGTACACGTCGACCGCGAAGATGCACACGTCGATACAAACATCCCCCCAACCACGATCCACCTCCAGAGTACGTCGTATTCGATCCTTATCCCTTTTTTGATGCCAAACCAAAACCCCGCCGTCGATCAACGATAGAAATCATCGAAACCTGCTGCAGGGACGGATTCAAGGCTACGACAGGCAAGGTCGGCAAGAGTGTGGTCAAACACATCGAAGACGCTAGCAAGATAGCCAAGGATGTACCTACTGCCTTCAAGGAAGCTCAGGTGAAATTGAATTTGAAAAGGGCCAAGGATAAAATACGATGGTTGGAGAAGCACCACTACCTGAGTGGGCAGGAGAGGTTGCTGACGCAGGAGCTCGTTGGCTGAGATGTTGGCAATGTCGAAGGACAAAACCTCCGACTGTGTTGTCAGCGTTAATGGAAACCTCATATTTTAGAAAAATATAAGCGGGGGTGTTGTAGTAGTGTTGGCAATATTATTTGATTGAGCCTTTGTGATGCCAATCCCAGCATCAGATTCACATTGTTGATTTGTTCGACGTACGTGCGGTCGTTTGGTTCGTACAGCACTCACAGCACTGCATCTCCTTCCATTAAAGACTTGAGACGGCGCTGTGTATCCACCGCTGAGCCGCGATATTAACGAGATGTCAAGCAGGGCTTCAATCACGGGTAGTTCGTCGCACCAATCACCGCTTCCTTCTGAAGCAAGGCACGAACTACGCGCTTTGATGATCACTCGCTCTGCGTCGTTTTGTTTGACAGGCTCGGACACGGAATCACTTTATCTAAAGGAAAGAACCGAGTGATGAGCTCATCTTTCAGCCTGCTACAAAGAACCGCCTCTGCAAGAGTGTTAAGACAAAATGCATTCAACATGTCTACATTGCCGCTAACATCGTATTTGTGTCTCTTTTTGTACTCTTGTAGTCTGCAGTGTAGTAGAGGATCTAGGTGCCAATTTGGCGGTTTCTCCAGCTATTCACAAGCAGTCGTTGTTTAGTAAAATAAGCATGTCAAATTAGTGTCTCTAGGCAACTGTAGACCGAATCAACTAGGTTGATTGTGAAGTACATGGCAAGAGGTGCCACGTCAACTTCAATCATTTTGACTACTTTTTATGTTACACGATAAACCAGACTTATCCTCTCGCTGAATGCTGTTTTTGCCTCCGCCACCGCCACTCCCAAAGCCAGAACACCAACCCCACAAACCAGAACCAGACGAGGCAAACTACTCGGTACCGGAACCTGAGGGTGAATCGTCCGAAGCAGGAAGAGGAACGTTTCCATCCGTAAGATGCCTACCTCCCGATATTTCCAGTTTTCTTGACGGGAGAGGGGACATGGTCAAGTCCAACTTATCTGGAAACCGCTTGTCAATTTGTTCAAGAGCCCAAATGGCGAACTTCCATTCATCGTCAAACTTGAGAGAAGACTTGAAAATCTGGCAGGCTTCGCACATCGCCTTCGGGCCGCCTGCTGCCTTACGCGAACTACCCTGATTTCCCGTTAGTATACGGTGCTCTTCCTGAAGAACAGACAAAAGATGAAATAGCTGACTTACTTTGAGCGCATTCAGAAATTCTTCCGGTACCTCGGGCTGGTTCTCGTCGATGTCCATAGCGTTCTCATCAATCTCCGTGGTGTTTTCGTCAACCTCCATACCGTTTTCTTCCAACTTCTTTCGAGCTCTGTACGCCATGTACGCCATATAAGCCTTGATCGCTGCTTGGAGCTCATCGGATCGAGGAATCGATGTATTAGGCGCAACGGTGCACTCGTTTCCTGGCTTCTTGTGGTCCCACAGCACACATGTCCACATGTTATCCCATGGTAGCAAGAAAAGCGTAGATATAGTGGGATCGAGGTCGATTTTGCTTAGATCATCATCGGTTGGAGTGACAACCGCAACCCGGTCGTCTGGTAATTGTTTGCACGCCTGCAACGCTTGAAAACTCAGGATGAGTGCATTGTCGTTCCAGGAAGACAGGTCTGCGAAATTTTCAATAGTTGCATTGAACGGGATGGTTGATTCAACGCCCATGAAGTCCACTGCTAATTCGAACTCTCGAACAAAGGACAGATTTCCGACGAGTGATGCTAGTCCTCGTTCAGGCGTTTTGCCAATCAGTCCTTCAACGCTGTAGTCGCCTGTTCTGTTAGTCCACTCGATATTGTTTGATGGTTCTAGAGACTCACCTCTCCTGGACATGGCCTGGTCCATCTCCTCACGCCAAATAGAGGTGTCGCTGGTTCGAGAGAGCCCTCCGTGCAGCATTGATTGGTGGAGAGCTAGCCAAGCAAGAAGGTCATGGTTCTCGGAAGTGCAGATCCCATGGTTGCCTAACATCTTGGTCGATGGTAGAGAGGTAGAGGTGATTAACAACCAATTCAGGAAATTATTAGTGGAGCGAAGAAGTTAAGAGGTTGTTGTAAGAAGCGTGGAAGCTGAGAGGTTGTTGTGAGTATTATAGCGTCTTATCTGGTCGCGCTAGCTGCAAGGTGAGAGACGTCTAGATCTGTTCATAGATGTGTATTACCTGAGGTATCGCTAGGCGCCGCTAATCAGGACGCATGACTATATCGGAGATGATTGGTAACTCAAGCCCGAAGTCTCCGTCACCTCAGCAATGCAGTGTTTGTAGCTTAGCGTTGAATCAAAAAAGGTGACGAGACTGCTGAGGAGATATTAACAGAACGATGGAACGAGTGTTTGAGAAATCTGGACCTTGCATGCAGATGGTGAAGCATTTTGTTGATTACAAAAGCAGTATCGATGTACTCCTAGCAATTTAAGTGACGGAGGAAAGTATAAAAGCCTGTCATGCAGATGACTATTTGCATCCTCGGTTTAGTTGCTAATACACGCAAGATACCCATAGGATCTACAGGTAAGTCACCAACGCCTATGAGGCTTAAGAAGTAGCCGAGTATGCATCACAGGTGCAAGAGTATGGAAGACTTATAATGACAGGCGGATAGCATTTATAAGAATAGTGCTGCAATCTGCCTGCACATACAAGATGGAAATGTTATGATTCAAAAAATCCGGAACATGCTTTTAGTGCCCAACTTCGGGACTCAAAATGATGAATGCAAAGATAACTCAGTAAGTATGAAATAAATGATCCCAGAAATCCAAAACATGCTCCTTGTGCCCAACCTTCGGACTTGAAATGATGAATGCAGAAGTAACTCAATATGTGTGAAATAGATGATCACAGGATTCCAAAGCATGCTCCTTGTGCACAACTCTTGGACTTAAGATGATGAATGCAGATGTAACTCGGAAAGCACAAGATAGAGCCGGTGCTCTACTCCTGTACGCTATAGTCGAAGGGGTTTGTCGCAAGACTCGCGGGCCTCAATGCGTAAGACGTTTTGTACTGCTGGGCGATATGGGTCTGCGTTTAGGTGGAGGCTTAGCAGACGCTCTATCTCGGTAAAGGAATGTCCCTGCAGCAAACGTATCATGTGATACGGATCATGTATTTGAGCGTAATCTCGATGCATGTCTTCGGCCGATAATGGACGCGGAGGGGTATATTCTGGAGGTAGAGGGGTATTCTTAAGCTGTGCTGTTGTGGCTCTTGTATCCTGCAGATGCGTTAATCAATGTCTCCAGTAGATCGGACAAATAATTCACCTTTTTGTTCAAGTCAAGAAGACCCAGATGTTCCAAACAACTGGCCCATGTCATTTCAAATGCTACCCTGTTGCTGGCGATTAGTGCTTGACAGAAGTGATCCCTTCTTCCCATAGTGGCCTTTGCGTATATGGCCTTTTTGAGAAGCTCTTCAGTGTTCACTTTAGGCAGTGCCCTGACTTGTTCCAGTATTCCATGGGCGCTCATCACCTTGTCGTCGAAGCCGTCTGCAGTCATTGGATGAGGGATGGGCGTGAGGTGGAACCACTTTGCTGCTAATTCGATATCATCGATATAGAACTCGTCGAAAGGCAATGGACAGAAGTCCATATCCTTCTCTCGCGCAAAGCTATCGCTCCTCTTTTTCGTTTTGATAAGTCCTGCAAGAGCTCCCTTAGGTCGAATGCCACACGATCTTAGTGCTTGACGGATTAGTAAATACATGGAGTGTTCCCATGGAAATACTGGAACGTGTGTCGTAGCGAGAAAGGCCAGCCACTCTTTAGCGTCGTATTTTGTTCTTACCAATGCCCTCAAGTCGGTCGATGTGGTGACAAGCAAATGCAGGTAGGGTGCCGTTTGGCTGATTTCTAGCATCTCCCTTGTGTCTTCGTGGTTTGCATCGTTCTTGTAATACTGCCATAGGGTTCGCCTCTTGTCATGCTTCATTACGAGGTATGTGGGTTTCTTCAATAGTTCGTCAATCTTTTCTCCTTCGGTGAATGGTGGCGTCTCCTTCATCGTCATCTCTAGAGTCTCTGTTGAGTATGTCACCTCTTTCATCTCAAAAGGCTGGTTCTCTTCAAGCTCCGGCGCCTGGGACATTGTAGCGTCTGCCAAGTGATGTACTAGGCTCGTGGGCGCGGGAGATGTGGATCACAAGGCTTGTCGGCGGAGAAGAGGTTGGTTACAAGGCTTGTCGGCGGGAGAGGCGGATTATGTGGCTCTAGAGCGTAGGAGAGGTCGATTATTAAGCTTGTAAGTGTGAGAGAGGTGGATCATCAAGCTTGTAAATGTGAGAGAGGTGGATTGTTAAGCTTGTAAATGTGGGAGAGGTGGATTGTTAAGCTTGTAGGTGGAGGAGAGGTGGATCGTAAGGTTTGTCGATGCGGGAGAGGTAAGATTATGAGGCTTGTGGTCACGGGAAAGGTGGAGTAAGAGACCCGCGGCTCCAGGGAGGTAAGATTTCTAAGTTCATACCTGGGTGCAGGTGAGGTGAGATTACAACGCTTGTAGGCGATGGAAAGGTGAGATTATAAGGTTTATGAGAGCGGGAGACGAGGAGTATGAGGCCGCGGCTCTGAGGATACGGACTTGGAGGCGTGAAGGTTCGTCTGAGATGGCTTGCAAGATGCTCAAGTTCCCTCGAACCCTACCTAGGGCCGGAGCCTACATTGTCACGTGTCATCGCGTTATCGCGTTGCCGCGTCATAACATGGTGTCGGGGGAGATTCATAGGTACACTGTACGTTCTCACAAAGTTCGCGAAGGCATTTGAGCGCCCCTAGGATATGATTTCCAATCAAAATACTTCAGGCGACACGGTATATGCATGCTGTGTATTTGTATAACTCGAATGATTTGATATAGCTGCCTTCGTAGTCTGGGAAACACGCCTCATCGCAAACCGCTAAGCCTGACACGCGACATTCTCACTGCACCAACAACTCTCCTCTCATGTTCCTAATCGTAGTAATGCTTAATACTTGTGACCCTTGACCACGATCTTACCGCCCTCACACTTGAGGCTGATCTCCTCCCCGAAAGTGTAGTAACCGTGTTGATCGGCTTCCGGGACGGGCTTTGGCTGTGGTGCTGGATGTGGCTTATCATCCTCCTCCTTCTCCGGCTGAGGGGCTGGGTATTCGGGCTGCGGCTTAGGAGGAGTGGGGTGCTCGGGCTTGGGAGGCGGGTGCTCGGGCTGCGGCTTGGGAGGAGCGGGATGCTCAGGTTGCGGCTTAGGAGGAACTGGATGTTCGGGCTTTGGGGGTGGATGTTCGGGCTTGGGAGGAGTTGGGTGCTCTGGCTTGGGGGGTTCTGGCTTGGGATGCTCCGGCTCTGGCTTGGGATGCTCTGGTTTTGGGGGCTCTGGCTTAGGATGCTCTGGCTTGGGTGGTTCTGGCTTTGGAGGTGGATGCTCTGGTTTGGGGGGCTCTGGCTTGGGGTGCTCCGGCTTGGGGTGCTCCGGCTTGGGGTGCTCCGGCTTTGGAGGTGGATGCTCTGGTTTCGGAGGCTCTGGCTTGGGATGCTCAGGTTCTGGCTTGGGTGGTTCTGGCTTAGGATGCTCTGGCTTAGGATGCTCTGGCTTAGGATGCTCTGGCTTAGGTGGTTCTGGCTTTGGAGGTGGATGCTCTGGTTTCGGAGGCTCTGGCTTGGGATGCTCAGGTTCTGGCTTAGGATGCTCTGGCTTAGGTGGTTCTGGCTTTGGAGGTGGATGTTCTGGCTTTGGAGGAGTCGGGTGCTCCGGCTTCGGGGGTGGATGCTCTGGTTGAGGCTTAGGTGGATGGGGCTTATAGCCACCGTCATCGTGTTCATCCTTATCTTCTTCTGGTTTGACTGGAGGGCCTGGCTGTGGCTTGTTGGGCTTGTAGCTTCCGTCGTCGTGCTCGTCCTTATCTCCATGTTCTTTGCCATCCCCTATAGGTTCGGGTACGTGAGGAACCTCCACCTTTGGAGGGATGCAGATCTTGCTATGGTCGTACTTGTCGCGTTGCTCACAGCACCTTTGATACTCCTCAGTGGCCTTTGCATCATCTCTACGGACGGCGATCGGCGTCGCTGCGGCAGTAAAGGCCAGAATGGCAACGACAGCAGCTTGAGTGAGACGCATGATCAAGATCGAGCAGTATTATTAACGATTGAGTATTTAGTGATCGAAGTTTGCTCGTGTAAACGAATGGTGGAATGCGGAGGACCGCAATTACCGACTTTGTTGTATGATCGATATCCGCTTGGTGGCCGATGTCGAGACAGTGCAGGTTATCTCTCTCATCTTTATACTTGAAGGATGCATTGTTTGAATCGTCCCTATTCCATTAACCCCTCTCTTCTTAGCTAGAAATATGCACAGTTACGTCTCAGAGTATTGAATTTTGGCTCCAGGACGCCCCACAGTCTTGGAGCGCAGCCAAAACACCGTCGTGGCACTCTAAACCTTGAGATACGCACACCAGGCCCTCTTCCTAGAGCTCGAAGCTAATGATATGAAGCCATGATTCGGTGTTGGACATCGTTAGCTGGTGTAGTGATAGAGCGAACATCGTGGTCGCTACGCAGGGAAATATTGCCCAGAGCTGCTTCATGGATCGGATTATACTCCAATGCGCTCAGAGAGGTCAGTTGCGAGAGAGATTCGAGAGTTTGCTGTGACGACTATGGCGGAATATTCGAGTTCTCGTATAATAGCCTTGGCTGGCTCTACCCGTTGGTCAAGACAACTGCAAACATCGCGATCGCGGGTGATCTGGTAGCACGGGAGGACATCTTCCAAGACGCCGTCGTGAAATCAAAAAGAAGGCTTTCTTGTACCGGATACGTCGGATGAAGATGGCGCAAACATGTGAGATGCTGAGAGGTTGGAGAGCGAAGCTCCTCAGCCGCGGACAAAGCGCCATCCGGGGTAGCGTCTTGGCGACGTGACACATCAAATTGCCGGACTGGGTCGGTACTGCTTCCCTTTCCATCGTCACGGTATCTAGACGATCACCTAGCGGTACATACTTCCGGTCCATCGGGTCGAAATATACAACTCCAACCCACAGTACAGGCTGAGCACGAGCTACCATCTGCACATATGAAGAATGTGAAATCTGCTCTAAATTACCTGGGTAGGCCACGACTACCCACGCCTGAGCGAAAGTGCAAGTAGCAACATTCGCAACAACCTTACCATAGGGGGATTCTGGCCTCGAACCCCGCACCACATCTTGACATTGAGCGCTGGCTCAAAGTCAATAGTCGGATACTAAACCCATAGATCGCCTTGGCTGCTCACATACCTAAGAGGCTAGTGCGTTGCCAACACGGACTTTATTTCGAGCCATCCAAATTTATATATGCCCTAGCTGTAGTGGATAATTCGATTGGCTCGACCCCTAAAGGAGATTGATATTGTATCCTTCCTATTCACGAAATGTTTGCCATGTGGTGGCGACTACTAGATTGGAGCTGAGAAGTCAAACCTTGTTACCTTCCTAGGGACCTATGGTAACAATGGATCATTTCACTAAGCGACATGTATCCGCGCTCAGATCTAGTCTCAGAGATGCCATCCGAGTTTGTCTATCGCAATATCACATTGCTGTTATATCGGCAGTGTCCAGTTGCGAGGTTAACATCTCTTTGTCGAAGCTGTGGTCGGCCTAGGAAATGAGGAGCTACTTGAGGCATACGTATTATCAAATCGAAAAACACTCTGGCTGGATACAGAACCAGGTATGGCGTAGGACGTCTGGATTTTCCAGGGATCCGTCTAGCGTTTGGCATAATGAACGCCAATTCTCACTAAGTTTTTGGAGTACATGCGCGTGGTGCACGCCAGTTGCGGGTAGATACCATGTTACTCTTCAGCCTATTGCATGTCTTCCCGGTGCCAACTTGTCTTGTATTCTGATACTACAAGGATCTAATTTCAGGCACATGCGTTGTATCGATACTCTATGTTAAGAAAAAAGCAATCCCAGAAGAGCAATTCGCTCCAACTCAGGCTGATGCCCAATACTCTGTATGAACTCTTGATAGGGCTAGTTGACTGATCGCGTAAATGAGTGAGCCTAGAGAGGGTCGCACTTAGGCGTAGATATGCAATGATTTGACATAAACTTGAGATGTACAGCCTGAGATACCCACAGTAGGTACTTGGCAAAGACTGGGATGTGCAATGACGTTCGTGCGGGGAAACTGACTTGTTACACTTGGTAGTCATGTTATACTAAGATGCTAAGCACAAGTGCAGTTTTGAGGGTCTTCTAGTCCTCCCATCAACCTGGAGAAATATGTAAAATGAGTTCATGGATAGGGAATCAAGAATGTCATACAGAGTAATTATCGCGTTATCGTCAGGCCCATTCGTATTAACCAGGTTTCCCCGTGTACGGGGTTGTGTCACCTTAAAAATGCGCAAAGAAAGCCTCTTTGATCTACATCATTCCCTGAGCTATAGGGCAAATTACCGCTTTTGCTTCTTCCCGTTAATTTGTACAATCTGAAATATCGACATGGTGTCAGTGACCTCGCATTGTAAGCGTCGTCGTTTGCAAAGATATAGGAGCGCGATGAGAAAGCTGAAAGACGCGAACTGGACCTTGAAATCGACATCATCGACGAACGCTAAGCCATAATTGAACCTAGAAGCGATGCACGCGAGCATGTACGACAGCGCGCTACTGCTGAGAGCGTAGTCGCCGCCTGTGAAGAAGAGAATCTCGAGCTGAAGCAAAAGCTTGATCTTATAAGCATGAAAAACGAGGCATTCGAAAAGAAGCTTCCAGCGCAGGATCAAGTAATTCACTGAATACAAGCAAGGCAGGATAGACAGAAGGGTTGAAGGCATGATTGAGATAAGCACAAAACTCACATATGTGCCGAATAGATCCCTGGGCACTGGATCAAGTCAAAATATAACTAATGGAGGATGCATCGGGGGGCAGCTTGAAGAGCATGTTGGATGCAATGATGGTGATGTTCAGAAGAAGTCGAAGGGTCGTTCTTTATTGGATGTGCTCCTTGTCGGTCAAGAGATGATGCTAGTCCTAGCCCTCTCAGAGTAAAGTAACGTGTGACTAATATACCCAATCATGCTATATATCATCACACACTAGATGTACCAAAGACAGTGTTGTTTTCAGAATTATCATTCATGCTATCTGGCATACACGCCATCGATCGCATGTTTCACGTTGATTTCCCATCGCCGTGCTCAATCGAACTATGCACTCGGTCCCTCTCTTCATGTTCTAACCCATCATTCCGAGGACAGGGACCGTAAAACTATGCCATGAGAGGAGAACGAACAAAGCTCGCATACATGATATAACCAAAATTCGTAGAACCGGGAACAGGAAATGAGTGATTAAAGAAACGCAAGAACGCCATCATGAAATATCTCATCCATCTCGTCACAGGGTGCGACTCTCACCAATCTTTCGCGAGTGACAATGGCTGTCATGTACCGCCAACCGTAGTTGTGTTTCTTAAGCCGCTTGGCTCGGGACCCTTCTTGTTTCGACGACCGAGTAATGTCGAGCTATCCATGTTGAGCTCAAATGCGCCCTTGTTCCTGACTTGGCGCTTCGCTGCGGCTGCAACAGCTGGAGAATGTTGGCCATATCCTCGCTCTTGCTGTCGTGGTGCCGATTGTTGCTGACGGGCCTGAGCTGCGGCGGATAGTGTGGTGGTGCGCATCTTCTGCTCCATACCAGTGACATCAGCACCTTGAGACTTGGGAAGCTTCGCTGGTGGATGTTGCGATGATGGGTCGTATGGGACAGATTCAGCAGTATACTCGTCATCGTCTTCACCCTCATCGAGGGCGTTCAACGAGTTCATGGCGTTGGCGCCACGGTAACCCTGCTTGAACTGCTTCTTCCTCTTGCCCTCCTCTTCCTGTCGATGTACAGCATAACTGACATCGAATACTTCTCGGAGGTTGACGGCACCAGGAGAGCGGAAGTCCATGCGACGAGCACCCGGTGACTCCAAGTGCGAGAAGTCTGGTTGCAGACGCTCCTTTTTGGCGGCAGGTGTAGCGAGGGGTGGTGCGTCGTAGGCAGAGTAGGTTGGCTCGTCGGCTTCACGTATCCATGGGTGGTTGAGGAACTGGTTGATGTCATATCGCTTTTCCGGGTCGACTGTCAGCAGATGGGAGACCAAGTCTTGCGCGGACTTAGAGATATCGTCCCACCAGGGTGAGAGGAAGGTGTACTGGCCACGAGCGACCTTCTCAGTGAGGGTTTGGATGGACTCGTCGTAGAACGGCGGGAAACCACAGAGAAGTGTGTAAAGCACACAACCCAACGCCCACATGTCGACACTCTTGGAGTAACGCTCATCCTTGACAATCTCAGGTGCAGTATAGCCGACAGTACCGCAAGGTGTCATGGTTTGCGTGTCCCAGATAACCTTGCTAAGGCCGAAGTCGGCAATCTTGATTAGGCCGATACCACCAGCGCCCTTGCCCTTGACGAACTCTCCCTCGTCAGCCTTGTCTTCATCGTCTGGTCCCCTTGGCTTTGGGTTGCGTGTGGGGATGAATGGTGTGGGATAGAACAAGAGGTTCTCAGGCTTAATATCTCTGTGATATGACGTCAGTGAGAATGCTTGGCATCGTGACAAAAAATACGAACCGATGGACAACACCTGCTTCCTCGTGCAGGTACTGCAGAGCCTTGGCCACCTGGATGATGGTGTGACGGGAAAGGTCCTCGGAGAAGTACGTTAGACGGACGATTTGATGGAACAGTTCGCCTCCTGGGCACAGCTCGAGCACGATGTAGTAGTACTGCCGCGATTCGGAAAAGTCGATAAGTTTGACGATGTTGGGATGGTCTAGTTGGCGCATAATCTGTACTTCCTTGAGGATGTTCGCTCTCTATAGGGCAGTTAGTGTCTGCCCTTGCAAGCCCAGTCGTGATGGGGTGGAGGATGCTCAGAGTCGAGCATCGGGGGTAAGATTATCGCACCTCGGCTGCTTTGGGCGTCTTGAAGTCCGGATGCACATGCTTGTCCTACACCGGCCTCGCGTTGGTAACGTCCAAAAACACCCGACTGTTCAACGTGATGGGGAAAACAACAAGGGAATGTGCAGGGAAGGGCAGGGATAGGGTAGTACTAACCTGCTGTGAGTTCATTTCGAACTTACGGACGACCTTGATGGCTACTTCATCCCATTGACCAGTCGTGTCTCGTGCGCGATATACGTTGCTAAAGGCGCCGTCGCCCATCTTTTCGAGCAGCGTCCATCGCTCAAGTCCGGGATATCTAGGCAACTTGCCCTTGGCCTCGCGCTCCTCGGCGACGATGCGCTCGAGTACTGATGGGTCAACGCCCGCGTTCTTGGCAGCGGCCTGCTTCTTCTGGTCCTTGGCAGCTGCGTGCGCAGCGGCATCACCTGCTTGGGCGGCAATATTGCGGTTATCTCCAGCGCCAGCGCCGACGGAGAAGTCACCATGGGGAGCAGCATGGTTCTGAAGCGGCTTGTGGTCCATTACGGGCTCTGAGATGCCATGGTGTACCGGGTCCGGGTGCTGATTGTACCGTTGATGTTGAGACTGAGCGTGCACATTGGAGACATTGGTCGTGGGCTCCGCGTTCTGGCGGGCCTGCTTTCCATGTCGCAGGAAGTTCTTAAAATTCTGTATCGCGGCCATGTTTAGTGTCTGGTTTGGGGGGTAGAAAGTTGAATTACAAAGCCGCTATCAGTAGCGGGGTCGAAGAGGCTGCGATGGTACAAAGTAGAGGAAACAAACGGGTGCAGCCGTTTCTTGGGGCAGAGAATAGACCAGCGGTAGTGCGACAGAAATGCTCGTGCAGTGAGGGGGGAATTCAAGGAAGAGACTTGGTTGGAAAGAAGGTCATGCATGGACGAGGAGGAGTGAAGCCGGAACAAGAGAGGAGCGACGTTGCGTCATTGGTGCACGGACTTCATGACGATGCAGGCTACATCATCGCCAAACAAGCTGCACCACGCGCACACGAAATGATAGGCGTGGCGCCTCGAGGAGCTTCTAGCATTTGCAGTGTAGAGGAGAAAATATATCGTACCTCGATTACTGGGAGGCCCATCTTCTTGGTGCGTCCGCCTCGTGGAGAGGTGTTTTTGGACTGCATGTAGAGATTGGGATCTCGATGGTAGCCCTGGAGTGCTTCGTTCGTGCCCTACCGCCTGGTGGAGGTATGACGCTCGTATTGCGATTCCGCGTCCCGTCTGGGAGGGAGATCTTACGGCTTCCGCTAGCTTGGGCAAGGGTTTGATTCGAGGGTGAAAGGGAGCACCGTTCCTGGAGCCTGACCTGCTCAGCGGAAGGATCCGATCTCGATGATGGTTGGGGGCGGCGTGTGAGTCGTGATATGGCAAGACAGGCGCGCGATGGGGATGGGCAAGTTCGGCGGTATAATGTAGTAGCAAGAGGAGGAAGAGGAAGAAGCCTATGTACCCTTTGAAAGCGTTTTGCGCAAAGTCATATTATTTGTCTTTTGCTTGGACAAGGCGACTGCGCTACCTCCGCGCGAATACTCTTCAGCAATAGTGGCACACGCTGACGCCCGCGGAATCTCCGGCAGCCTCCTCCCAGTTCCCAGTAGACTCGCAAAGTCGAGCCTGGCACCATCTAGAGGCTGAGAGGCTCGCTAGGGACGCTGCCGCCGACGCCACGCTGCATGCAAACCTCATTACGACCTTGGAAGAGGGTCCCCAGACGGCCTGAAAAGCGCCCAATGACCGCATATAAGACCAAGGCAGCACCCATGATGCTTTGTGGGTAGCAACTATGGCAATCTCCCATGCATGCGTCCTCCCAGCGCCCGCAATTCTAATTTCTCCCTCTGAGCAGTGCAACGGCCTAGCAACCTGCAGGGTCCAATTAGCGCAGCGGATCCGTTACGTCACCGTCTAGTGGGGAACGTTCATTGAAGACGTCAATCTTCGCCCTCTTGACATTCTGGGCTGAAACATATCCGCCGCTTACGGCGTCTTCGCATATTGGCCATGACCCATTTGCAGATCGCATTGGGCAGGCCACGAGACCTCTTACATAGATACATCCAGTATGTCGCTTTAGTGTCGGTCCAATGCCACGGCCTCGCGCATGAAATTCGGACCGTCCATCTATCATTGCGCGTGCTTTCTGCGTGATATGCAGGGTTGCGAGCGGAGCCGACATGGACATTCGGCAGCAAAGTCCCCGTCAGAATTTGGGCTGCAATGAATCTGATCTAGCAACCAAGAGACCCTTTCCCACACCATCCTCGTGGCAATCATCTGGACCCTCGATGACATGACTAACCCGGCGGTTCCGTCAACGAAAACCGCCGCTCTAGCCTCATATTCCTCGAAGCCTAGAACAGCAAATATGCTGGGTTGAAATATAACTCAACAAGCCATGTTTGTTCAGTCAAGTAGGTGCTGAGAACAATCCTACGCGTTCAATGTCACTAGCGAGCCGATAGCCGTACAAAGCCAGGGAGCGGCTCGGAAGGGACAACATGCCGCACTTAGCAGCAGCTTCCACTCAACATTAATAGAGTTCATGCAACATCTATTGAACCAAACCTTTCGACACGTGAGTCAGCCCGCATAGCAAGACAACTTGCGAATGCAGAATTGAGGGACATAGTGCTCGTTACTAGAGCGATGTTAGATGACGCTAGAGGTTTTCAGCACATTTTCAAAAAAAAATCTCAAGTTCTACAAGTCGTCCTAGTGGCTACCTGCTCATTCCATTGTTTACCGTAGTTCTCACTTGAATACTCTTTTGAGTAATAAAGAATGAACACATTAGACATACAGAAATCGTAAGTCTGACATCAATTAACTATCGGTGACTACTACTGCTACTACTATAGTGCTTCACACCTTTCACACGCACAGTCAAACCCCCACGTCTTCTTTAACCTCAACAGTCTCTTACCACGACTCAGCTTCCTCTCCTCCCCGCTAAGATATGTAATGCACAGTTCCTCTCCTTTCCCGATGTTTCTCCCAGCTTTGAAATACCACGTCTTGCCATTCCTATTCTTCTCAATGTTCGGCCCGCACGAATGGTTGAAGTAGCTTGCCGCGGGCCAGCAACCGTATCCGAAGAACTCTGAGCCGTCATCTTCCAGGGAGCGAATACCGAAGGAGTTGTGCGAGTCGCGGGACGAGAGCGTGATTAGCGTCTCTGCCGTTACAAGTGGTAGGAGCGGTAGGGGAAGGATCGCAAGCAGGTGTAAGTAGGTTCTTATAAACGCGCCGAGATCGTCGGAGCTGTGGTAAGGAGTCTTGTCGTCTGCGAGTGCCTCCAGGCGTTCCCATTGCTCGGGATGAAGGTATCGCCATACCAGGCCACTCACACAAAAGCTCATCACATCAGGTGTAATGTTAGCTTGTAGTGCTTTTGACAAAGCCTTCTTGTGCTGCTTTGTGATTGGAGCCACATCCTCCTTGTCCGGTATAGCTTGTTCGCTTACCCGTGCGGCCCGTATCAGCGCTGCCTGCGCAGCAACATTCTCCCACGCCTGCTGGATCTCCTTGACCTTTGGTCGTGGTAGGTCGGCATCCACCATGTCGCTATCCTCCTTGCTCCGCTTTCTTACTAAAGCCTCGACGGCCGTCCACGCTTGAACACCAATCTCGCCGTTCTCTTCTCGCCATTTGTCCTGGCATGCCTTCGAGCAGAATGCGAACCCCACCGTCTTGTCTCGTATATCCAGATCCCGCCCGTACTCGTATCCAAAACACTGTCCACATACTTCGCGTCGATATTCGCGGAGGAGGACGTTGAGGGTCAGATCTTCTGAGCGCCACACGAGTGTGCCCTCTGGGATGTCTTGACTAGCGAAAACGGCGCGGCCGGCGGTCGGTGTGTGTCGGACTTGGAAGAGAGAGGAGATCGGCGCGCCCGCTGGCAGATCCTTGGGTGTATCGGGCGGATGTATCGAAGAGGCTGATGAAGGGCGTGAGACACTGAAGACCGAGTCACTGGCTACAGGAACAGACGAGTCGCTTTCGGGGGCGTCCATTGCAGCGGTATCGATGAATTAGTAGCACACACACACAAGCGGACTGGCGGGTGAATGAATCGGCGCTCCGCTCAGGAGTCAAAAAGCAATCGTATCCCGCGGAGTATGCGGTGAACAACTATGCCCCTCGGTGTCTAGCAAAGGGCCAGGCAATGGATGGCAAACTGTCGCGCGGATTGTGGGTCAATTTCGTATGTCACGTATACTTATGCCAGAGTTGAATGATCGGAGGAATGCCATTGTGGGTATAGGTACGTGGGTTGTGGGTACGTTATCGTGACTGTTGATCGACAGAAGGCGAGAGATTTTGTGACGGTTGTGCCTGGCCAGACTTCAGACTAGACTGTACAGGGGCGCCGTGCTTAGCGCACGATAAGCGAGGCCTCGCTGTGGTCGTGATCTGGAACTTCTCGGAACAGAACTCACCACTTTCGGAAGACATCTGGTCACTAGATCAATCACAAGGCTCAATCGAGAGCACTTCCTCTTTTGGATCAGCCCGTGCGCAAGCGTCGTGATGATTTACTTTGTTTATTTGCGAGTCGCAACCATATTCTCAGACCCCAAAGTCTTTGCTAATCTCCCTCCCCACAGCCTTCAAGTTCTCGACAATCCACAACTGTGCGTTGCTGAAGACCAACACAGCGCCTGGCAGGAAGGCAAAGTTGTTTGTCTCAACACCAACCCAGATCTTTCCAATTAGCGTTCCCAGGGGATTCCAAATGTGTATGCCGTCACCACATCCAGCCCAAACATTTCCCTCCATATCTGTGTGCAAACCATCAGGAAACCCGTTGTCTGAGTAAGCAAATGTGCGTCTTCCAGTCAGCCTCTTTCCGTCTTCCGTAATATCGAAAGCGTATAGTGTTGCTGGCCGCGTAAGGTTTTTGTCAAACTCCACAGCGCCGGTGTCAGAAACGTATAGTGTCTTATAGTCAGGGCTGAACTCAAGGCCGTTGGGTTGAGTGAATCCATCTGCCACAGCAGCAATTTCACCAGTCGCGGGAGAGAAGCGGTAAACATGCTTGGGAATGGTTGGTGCAGGTCGGAAGTGTTGGATGTAGCCGTAGTCCGCGTCTGTGAACCAAATGTCGCCTGTCACAGGGTGTTGACGTGCGTCGTTGGGTGAGCTAAAATTCCGACCAAGGTAGTTGCTCAGGATCTTTTCAGACTCGCCTGTGACAGGGTCTACGGATACCAGACCTGCTGGGTTGACTAGATCGCCTTGGTCACAGTACAAAACGCGTGATGGGGTCGAGCTGTTGGTCTGGGTACCAGGTGGATAGTAGGACGTTGCGCCATTAGCTTCTGCAAGAGCTGAGTACCGTGTTGAGCTGATAGAATAGTTGTTTGCCAGGTCGATTATCGTAACGTTGATGGGGTTGTTCAGGTCGCCGGCCCAGTTGCTTGTGACGTAAAGCTTCTTTGCATCCTTGTTGTAAACACCGGCCTCGTGGAAAGCTTGCCAATCGAGATTGTGAAGTTGTCGCGCTGTTGCATTCTCTCCGACCACAGACACGAAGCTTTCATCGTATGCGAGAAGGTTGATGACACTGGGGTTGGAGGCATTGGTAGTGACTAGAGTATTCAGGTACGACGGGTCCGTCGCAAAGGATACCAGGTCCACGGGGATGATGCTCGACATAATATTCGTAACGATGGTGACGATTATTGTTTTCCAAATCACCGTCACCTGGGCTTCCATTTCTTGTTATAGTTTTGTCGCGGATCTTCGCGCCAAATAGCACTCGGTTCTTGTCAATTACGCTGGCGCGTCATCTAGCCGCCAAGTAGCCGATCCATGGATACAAGCCATATGCCTAAGTAACGGTAATGAGGTCGGACGTTGTTTAGCTTGGCTATAAGCTTGGCTTGGTTGCTTGACTCGGAGCAAAGTGTAGGTTGCCGCGGCGTTTGCCCCGGTGACTGCTGGTCGGCAATATGGTTCTCCTCCGAACGATCGCTAGCATGAGGCTTCTTATGTTGTTGCCGATGCTTGTTGCTCCTGCATCACTGATAGGTGCTTTTGCAAGGCTGAACACCCAATGTTGAAGTCAGTCCCTAGCATTTTTGATGGATTTTCGTCAGGCGCACGACGATGACATCATTATCACCGCGGTTACACCGTTAGCTTAGTCAAACTTTTACCTCCTGTTTAATGTAGATTTGTCTGTATCTGACCCAAGCGCATAAGCTGGCTGCGGATTGTTAATTGGTCCCTGCATTTCCATTGTTGATGAGCCATATTCTCCGATCAGATTGCCTGTTCTAATATTCAGATACTTATCCACTAACTGTGGTTCACTCGCTCAGCGCGCTGCTGTGATAGCGTATACAGAGATATTCATGCTTGTTTCATTACGTCGCCAATAGCGTCAGCTCCCTTTCCACCACCTCTTAGCTCCTTGTTCGTTGCCTGAATCAATACTCTCCGGTAGCTTGTTAGAGACGGCGTCCCGTCATCGGTAACTTCAAGGATCAGATGAAGCAGTTGACCTTGAGCAACCGGCTTTCTGCTCATCAGCTCTACCGCGCACTTCTCAGGCGGTGGAAGCGTAATCTCGACCTTTCTGCCCTCGTCGTCTAGCTTCTTGATTCCGAGTTCCGCAACTTCGGCATCAACCCACCATTGTGTAGCTGTGGGTTCACGATAATGCCACCATTTGAACGTGAGCTTTCTGCCGTCAGGATCGTAAGTAGCAGAGGCGTCAAGAAGGACGGTTGATCCGGCCTCTGCAGTGATCTGCGCAGGTGCCAAGCCTTTGAAACCACTGATATTGATGACTGGGTGATGGTTCGCTTTTGCAAAGTCTGACTCCATGCTCCATTTGATACGCGCAGCAAAGTCATTCTGAAACGCATCGCGCCAGCGCCAGATAGTCGCATGATTCGATGTGTAGGTCTTATCACCGACTTTGACTCTGTCCACCACATCACTGTAGTGGTTGCTGTTCAGTCCCTCGGTGCTGACATCAGTCCGTCCATAGCGACCTCCCCAAGATCCGTAGTTCGGGCAATCCGGTACACCTAAACCGTTTTGAATGAGGTAGAGAAACGTCGGTGTGTCGCCTTCCGGAATGAAAAGATAGTCAGGGTACGCGCTTCCAAGTGGCCCAATCTGGATGTTCTCCTTGATCCAACTCTTTTCCATTTTGGAGAAGTCCGGCCCACCCTCATCGAAGCCGTAGTACTTGTCGCCGGAGATACCAGTCCATGCAGCCATACCATACTGGTTCCAGCCGTGGATGGAAGCGATGTAGAAGACATCAGGGAAGTTGTTGCGAATCCATGCGCCCGTGTCATCTTGGTCGGAGATGGCGTAAACACGTAGACGCGAGAGCAGGCGCTTGGAGTCCTCAGGCTCGAAATCGTCGTCTACTTTGAGCAATGCCGAGGCGAGTGTGTTTGTTCCGCCCCAGCAAAGGATCCACAGCGGCTGTGTGGATGGTGCGATGATCCGATCGTACAACAACTGACCACCTGGAGACAGTGGGATGTCTGTGCCAACAGCAGACATGCCGTAGGTCTACACACTATCAGCGCCATTTGCAAGTGACACGTTGCATGTTGTTTAGCAAACGGAAGCATACCTCGGCGCCCTTGCGGATCAACCCACGCATATGGTCTGCGGTTGGGTATTGCCATTCCGGGTGTACGTGCTTATTCAGGTTGTCAACAACGTCGGCATATGCGTCGATGATTTTTTCCATGTCTTGCGGGCACACTCTGTTCTTCATCCAGGTGCTTGTACAAGCTACAAGGCCCTGTGTATCGAACTCATTGGAGTACAGAAGGTATCGACATAGCGATTCGGCATCATCCGGTTCATTAGAGATGTCGGATAAGATGAACACGCGGGGCTTTTGCGCGTATGTCTGAAGTCTCTCGGTAGCCATATTGGATGATCTAGTTTCGGGCGATAAGGAGGGCAAGGTCGACTACGAATACAATGGAAGACAAGCTTCTATCTTCATGCTGTTGAGCTGTTGTGGTCCTTCAATGTTAGACAAAAAGCAACCGAAGTTGTACCACGACGTCTCACAAAGGTGGGGCGTTGAGCAGCGGATGCGGTGTCCTTAGGCAGCTCCTTCCGTCTGGAGTAAAGCCGGCTATACTTTCCACCCGTCCTTCTCCGCCTCAGGTTGCCCCTCACCATCTTCTGGATGGACTTGGTGGCAGTCGCCTCACCGTCCGCCTCGGACTCTTCACAACAAGATGCGAAATAGCCGTTGCCACGCATTCTTAGTGTAGTGCGGCTCAGTCGTCTGCGCCACAACTAGGCTGCATTAAATCGTAGCTCAGCCTTGCATGCTATGACGTCCTTCAATCTACCTGCCCCGCTTCAACACCACCAGCCACGATCAAGGGACAGGAATGTAATTCAGGATTCAGGCGCCCAGTCACCCAAGGCACGACCATACATTTGTGCCGCTAATCCGTCCGCCAAGGATGAACGATCATAACCCTTTGACGTATAGCATCCGGTAGGAGGTAGGCTGTGCCCCTTGCTGCTTCCTTGATATCTAGCGCACGTACTACGCCCATATCGTTACTGCTCACAGAGATATCAATCCGAACACCGTATTCCGACATGTCAATCCATAACAAGATCCAGCAGGCAGCCCATCAAAATGAGCAACTCCTCCGAGGGCTTGAGGAAACAGACGCTGCACCCTCACAGCTCAAGCAGCAGAACGCATACATTGCTGACCTCGACTCGCAAATCAACAACACCAGAAAGCGTGTCAACGACCTGAAGAAGAAGACTGCTAGTGAGCTGAAGGATCACGAAAAGTACCGCGACTCTACTTTCCGCCGTTTTGCACACAAGGCCAGCGGCAAGAAGGAGAAGTTTGCTGAGAAGGCAGCAAAGGAAGAGAAAGAGTACTTTGATGCGATCCAGGAGCAGAAGAGTGCCGAAGACGAGCTAGCCTACGTCAAGCAACTACGTGACGAAGCTGAGATACGCAAAAACGAAATTACATCGCAATCTAACCGTC